GATAACATGGTGTTGTGATCTTTATTCCATTAAATGATCTTACAAATTGGAGTAAAACAGAAACATGCTTTTAATATACTAATAGCATAATCTCATCTCATTGCACTTTTTAAAAACTATATTAAATTTCAAAGCCACTCAAAGGCAAGGGTCTAGCAGAAAGTACTTTTAACAAATCATTTTTTTAAATAAAAAAGAAACCTGAGGAAAATTTGTGCATGTACAAGATTAGTATTAACTCCTTTAAGGCTTACATCCATGACAGCATGTATCTAATTAGAAAGCTTTGGGAATCAATGCTACCTTCCCTTGCTCATAAAAACACTATATTTAAACTTTAGTCCTGGCACACAAAATTCCTCTCCAAAGAAAAATGTCTTTCAAAAAACCCTTCTGTCCCTAGATCTGTTTTGCAAAGCTTCTGATATGGGGTACTTAGGTCGCTAATGACAGAAATTAGGATCTTGTCTTCCTTCTTGTTCATTATTTTTATTTGTGGCTTAATGTTTCACCTGTATGTGAAAGATTTGGGGGTTGAAGTCACAGTGCTGAATTTTACTTTTTAAAAGAAAAACTATGAAAAAGTGCTTTTAAAAAAACCCTAGTTACATCTGTTAGAAAATAGGATACTTGTACATTCGTTTTTCAGAGAAGGCACTATGACAATGGAGAAAAACAGCTTTAAGGAGCTTAATCCTCTGAATTAAAGGCATCCTTACTACTTCTAAACACATAAAACGCCTGGGACTGTACTGGCAAGAGACCACCTATTCTAAACCTCAGGTACAAAGTGTCCACTTGCCTCCAGACAATACAGAATTGTACTTTCTCCTTGGTACTTCCCATTCGATGAAGCAGTCTCTCTCTGTGGGCTCTGAACCACTATTTATAAAAGTGATGACTCCAGGACCACAGCCCATACCACCTGAGGCAATCCCTGGGTACGAAGCTGGGAATCTGAACTTTTTAAACAAGCCTGCTAGGTAAGTCTTACACACTCCAAGGTAGATGAGAACCACTACCCAAAACATAGCTACAACAGGACTTACAACATAAGAAAAGTGATTTGACTGCAAATATTCTTTTACAATGGGCTTCTTGTCATTTTTAAAAATTAATCACACAAATAGTTTGTACTTTCATAACTGAAGCTTGTCTTCATTCTGCCCTTATCCCTTGACTAAAATTGTTAGATCAAAAATGTGTAAGCCAGAATGACACAGCCATGTTGACAACTTGAGATGGAACATCAAATCATCCTAAATTACATTTCAATGGTTCTAGAAAAGAAAAAAGTTCTATGAAGACTTCCACGTAAGTTACATCATTTTTTAAAAGAACCTAGGAAAAAAATTAAAACTCTTTTATTGCTTTTGCATGGACTTGACTCAACCTACTTAATTTTGCTATAACTCATACATACTTATCCAAACTCACCCTATCCAAGGCACCATTTTACAAGCCAGGTAGAACACTGTGTGTGATCCACTAATGAAACTGATCACCAGTACAAGGCAGTATAATGTGTCTGTTTGACCAAAGCGCTTTACTTCATGTAAGAAAAAAAATAAAGCAAAACAAGCCCAGGTTCCAGGGGCTCACGCCTGTAATCCCAGCACTTTGGAAGGCCAAGGCAGGCAGATTACCCGAGGAGTTGAGACCAGCCTGGTCAACATGGTGAAGCCCTGTCTCTACTAAAAATACGAAAATAAGCCGGATGTGGTGGCACATGCCTGTAACCCCAGCTACTTGGGAGGCTGAGGCAGAAGAATCACTTGAACCCAGGAGGCGGAGGTTGTAGTGAGACAAGACCACACCACTGCACTTCAGCCTGGGCGACAGTACAAGTGTCCATCTCAAAAAAATAAATAAAGGAAACACAGGCAATTTTACCAAGTATAAAAGAGGTGTTAAAACATGAACTTCCACAGAACATTTCTTGTTATACTATGAAAATAAGGCATGACTCAGCTGGGCGGGGTGGCTCACGCCTGTAATCTCAACACTTTGGGAGGCTGAGTCGGGTGGATCACCTGAAGTCCGGAGTTTGAGACCAGCCTGATCAACATGGCAAAACCCCACCTCTAGTAAAAATACAAAAATTAGCCAGGTGTGGTGGCGTACATCTGTAGTCCCAGCTACTCAGGAAGCTGAGACAGGAGAATCGCTTGAACCCGGGAGGTGGAGGTTGCAGTGAGGCGAGACTGCACCACTGCATTCCAACCTGGGCGACAGAGCGAGACCTCTGTCTCAAAAACTAAAATGAAATAAGATAAAATAAAATAAGGCATGACTCAAAGTGTTTTATCGTACACGGTAGTTTCATTTTATCTACGAGTCAATCTTACAGAAAGATTTCTCAATGAAAGAATGAAAACTCTGATTCTACCATTTGTACTATAAGCAGCTCACTGAAATTATTTTTTCAAATTATCAACATTTATCCTGAAATATTTTAATAGAAAATTTTGGAAGCCTCCTTTTATATATTCATAGGAATGAGTTCCATATATTGTTACGATTGTGTAAAATTAAAAATGACTGCATGGAAAGTGGCAGAGCAAGAGACATGACACAAACACACAGTCTGAGCATCTGAACCACAAGTAAAAGGTGAAAGAAGTAAAAGACATTATTTGTAACCTGGTTATAAATCTCCCCAGGATGATTTACAGCCAGCAATGATAATGCATCTTTCATTGAAAAAGCTGATATAAAATCATCAATTTACTGTCGAGATAAAAGAGGCCAAAAAAAACTCTTAAGAACCCTCACTGAGAAAACTTTATAAACAATTTCCAGAAGCAGAAGAAGAAAAAAAAAAAAAAAGGTGAGGGGGACTTCATCTGGATAATTAAACCAAGGTTTCTTTATAAGACCAAAACAGAAATGGTGAATTTAAATAGTAACTGATCTTAAGATTTCATTAAATCACAGATTATCACTTTTTTAAAAGTGACCTAATACTTTAGTATGAGTTTTCGACACATCACCTTCTTACCATTAAATTTTTTGACAGTTATTCTGAAATCTATAAATTTACTTATAGAATGTATTAAAAGCTAAGTATCTCAATATTTACAGAGTCTGCTAATAGGTATGAACTTTCAGAGAGATAAGAGGTCACCTGAAAATGCACCAACATTTCAGAAGCAAGCTTTCAAGTTAACAGTCAAAGCTTGGCATCACTCATAAATGCAAGTAAACAAGCTGGAATTTTTCTAAAGTGTAACAGCAAGTGAATAAAATAGCAAGAACTATTTGCAAGATGGCATATAAATATGAGACATAGTATGCTGGGAATTTAGGACTTATAGAAATACTTCAGTGGCAAAATGTCAAAAGAAAATTATTTGATAAAGACATTACAAGCAATAAGGGACTTTCTTTTTTTCTACCTTCCATTCATACTTAATGTATATAAAGTTTACACTCAGATCTTACCTTCATGTATATAAAATTTACACTCTTACCTCCCTCCCATAACAAAAGTTAAATTATCTCAGAAATTAAGGCTTATATACCTGAATGTTTATATAAATACTTGCAGGCAAGTTTTAAGTTTTAAAATCCACAATAATTCCAAAACGAAAAGCAACTAACAGATAAAACTTTATCTCCTAATCAAGGTAAACAGAAAAAAAGAACTCTTAGATACTTCTAGATATTGTTTATATTTGGGTAGGACTTTGCTCCTTGCTAAGCCAACGCTATCTTAAAGCTACCAGACTAGCCAAAGTAAAATTAAATAGATAATTCACTAAATAAAATGGGTTAATTTTAGCTTCATTATTAAGAACATCAGACAGGGCAGAGAATGCAAATTAACATTCTGAGTAAAGACCTTAAATCAAGTTATTTATTAATTGCTGCTAAGCCACATGAATTATGAAATTAGACATCAATTAAAGGCAGTAATATTTGGTAATATCTTCCCTCTAATCTTTAATAAAAGTTCTGTTCTTATGCAGAACTCTCAAAAACAAATCCCCTCAAATGACAATTACAAGACTTGTGTATAACATACATACATATGTAAACCTACAGTGAACCTGACCAAGGCACAAGTTCAAGTGACTTATCAGAGGTCACATGGTTCATTTAAACTTAGCTTTTTTCTTAAAGTATCTATCTCATTCCTTTTATTATGAGCCACCCTGGCTTTTCAAGGCACGTTTGCCTCTTTTTCTAGAAAGAAGCTATAGGGACCAAAAAAAAAATAGAGCAAATTGCAACAAAACTGTCAATCTACTGGGTAAAAACCTCACATTTCAGAGTATGGTATATTTAAATATGACATGATTTTTCCACAATAGGCAATAGGATTCCCTATTGTAAATTTTTTTAAAGTGTAATGACATAATTTTCAGTTAGTCTTTAGTTCTGAAGTTTCTCCAAGTTTTGTAAACTTTTAAAAAAGGAATCCTTCTTGGCTGGGCATGGTGGCTCACGCCTGTAATTCCAGCACTTTGGGAGGCGAAGGCGGGTGGATCACAAGGTCAAGAGATGGAGACCATCCTGGCCAGTATGGTGAAACCCCGTCTCTACTAAAAATACAAAAAAATTAGCTGGGCATAGTGGCATATACCTGTAGTCCCAGCTACTAGGGAGGCTGAGGCAGGAGAATTGCTTGAACCCGGCAGGTGGAGGTTGCAGTGAGCCAAGATTACACCACTGCACTCAAGCCTGGTGAAAGAGTGAGACTCCAACTCAAGAAAAAAAAGAAAAGAAAAAAGGAATCCTTCTCAAAAGAGTAAAGTATAAAAGAAATGACAAGTTTCACCCCAAAAATGGCATCTTTCATGAGGTTATCCTCCAACCCCTCCCCATCGTGTCTGCAAAATCAGGGAATCAATCTTAAAAGGCACTAAGTGGCACATAAAGAACTTAAAAGCTGCATTTCCATTTTCCTCTCGCTTCCTCCTCCATAAAGTGCACAAAGCAGAGTAATATGAAAATAGACACAGGCTTGCATCTATAACAGCAAGGAAAAGAAATGCTTCCAAGAGAAATGGAAGTGTGTTTAATAATCAGAAACCACAGGAGAGGTCTGCTCATTTATTACAGGGCCATGTTTTAGCTCTTCCTGGATGGTCTCAGATCTGCCATTCCTCTAGATATGAACCTGTGGCCGTGGCAGAAACCCAGAAATCAGTAGGGGTTCATTTTTTTTTGTTTGATCTTCATGTTAAGATGCTATTGAGCTTTTTTAACCTGGGGTGGTCTTCCAACAACTGCATCCCTCACGGTGGCCTGAGTGGAATTACCGATATGAGAAGAAGCCTGCAAAAGTCCATTTATTCAACATGTAAGTTAATAAAATACAACACAGCAACAAGAAAGTAAGTCCTTAACCTTTCAAAAACCTGTCTCCATCATCAGCATGTTACAGAAAGCACTGTAATGAAAATGCAGGGATACAGGGAAGCTGTGGCAGGAACTAACTCCCAAGAGAGCCAGGGGAACATCTGCTCTGTGGCTGGGGTAGGATAGGCAGCTCCTGTGGCTTCACAAGCTGCTAACCCAACTAATCTGTTCATGTTACTCAGAAAAACAAATGTATCATCTCAAAGATGTACAAAATTTGACCATGTCAATGTCCAAGAGCTACTGGGTTAGCCGGGTGTGGTGGCACTCGCCTGTAACACCAGCTGCTTGGGAGGCTCACTTGAGGCAGGAGGATCACTTGAGCCCAGTTTTAAGTTACAGTCAGCTAAGATACCAGCCTGGGTGACAGAGCAAGACCTCGTCTCCAAAAAAAATTTTATAAATAAATAAATAAGCAACCCAATAAGTAAATAAGCAAGTCACTGGCTTTTGGAAGATTTTTAAATAAAAAGAGATACCATCCCTTTCCTAATCCAGTAGGACTCAAAACCGAACATTTTTCGTTAAGTTCATAATTTTTTCAAAGCTCTTGATTTTCAGTGAAATTAATCTGGGGGCGAGTGAGAAGGGAGAATCACATAAAAATTATGTCTGAAGAGTATGTAATTAGAAGTTGCCGGCCAGGTACGATAGCTCATGCCTATAATCCTAGCACTTTGGGAGGCCGAGGCGGGTGGATCACCTGAGGTCAGGAGTTCAATACCAGCCTAGCTAACATGGCAAAATGCTATCTCTACTAAAAAATACATAAAAATTAGCTGGGTGTGATGTCGGGCACCTATAATCCCAGCTATTCTTCGGAGGCTGAGGCAAGAGAATCTCTTGAACCCAGTGGGCAGAGGTTGCAGTGAGCCATGATCACACCATTTCACTCCAGCCTGGGCAAAAGTGTAAAACTCTGCCTCAGGAAAAAAAAAAAAAAAAAAGTTGCCAAAGGGAAACACAATCAGTATGTCTAAGTTGCAATGTTTTTGCATTAAAGGGCTATTTCTGGGCCGGGCGCAGTGGCTCACACCTGTAATCCCAGCACCTTGGAAGGCCAAGGCAGGCGGATCATGAGGTCAGGAGTTCGAGACCAGCCTGGTCAACATGGTGAAACCCTGTCTCTATTAAAAATACAAAAACTAGCGGGCCGTGGTGGCACACACCTGTAGTCTCAGCTACTTGGGAGGCTGAGGCAAGAGAATCGCTTGAACCTGGGAGGCTGACATTGCAGTGAGCCAGGATCATGCCATTGGACTCCAGCCTGGGCAAGAGAACAGAGCGAGACTTTGTCTCAGAAAAAAAAAAAAAGAAGGTTTGGGGGGGCATTTTTAGGCATGGAAACAAAATATTAAGAATAAATATTAATATCCTAAAGGATGATAAAACATAAAGTCTGTCAGAAAACGAAGGCCATGGGAGTGGCCATTGTCTCATGTCTTTGCTATGAAATTCTTCCAAACTAAGATATTTCACAACAGAAGCACAAATATCTGCCCATTATCAACCCTTAGGCTCTTCAGCAGCACCACTTACCTGCTCCAACACATATGCGGCACCAAAATCAATAGCTCCGCCCAGCTCACGATATTGACCAGAATACCTGATGTAGCCCCAGGTGAGGAGCGCTATTAACAGTAGTCCAACCATACAGTTGAACAACTGGGCTACAACCTCAAGACCTATGAAGCCAGTGAGGCCTGAGGCTATGTACAAAGCTACAATGCCCGTGAACAGCACTGCAGGGGTTCGGAAGGTGCTGAAGACGTTCTTGCTACCATTGTGCTTGCAGAAGTTCTCATATAATTCCTTGATTTCCTCCTCCAGCTCCTGCTGGTAACGAAAGCTGAAATCCTTCCCACCCATCTTCTTGGTCTTCTTAAAATGGTCCAGAGCAAGTTGTTTGAATTCACAGTGCTTCTCCTCTAGAATGTCTGGGGACAAATAAGGTTTCTCTCCCCCACAAACCTAAGAAGAACAAAGACACAATATGTTAAAAGATCTCTTCAAAAACAACTGCCAAATAAAACATGAAAAGATAATGAAGGGATTAGAATGTTTTAAGATGTTAACAATATATTAATAAGTTAACTTTTAAAAGATGACTAAGACCAATAAAGTCTAGTTTCACTTCCTCTGAAAAACACACTTAAAAAACCAGGGTGATAATATTAATTGGAAAGAGCAGTGACATTGGGCCAGGCACAGTGGCTCATGCCTGTAATCCCATCACTTTAAGAGGCTGGGGCAGGCAGATCACTTGAGGTCAGGAGTTCGAAATCAGTCTGGCCAACATGGTGAAACTCCGTCTCTACTAAAAATACAAAAAACATTAGCCGGGCATGATGGCAGGCACCTGTAATCCCAGCTACTCAGAAGGCTGAGGCAGGAGAACTGCTTGAACCCGGGAGGCGGAGGCTGCAGTGAGCCGAGATCGTATCACTGCACTCCAGCCAGGGTGACAGAGTGAGACTATGCCTCAAAAAAACAAAACCAAATGGTCAACTTCTGGGGGACTCAGGTGAGAAAGACCCACCTATGTCCTGGTTGAGGGTCTTCAGCGTTCTTTGGGACCCAAGGATTCCTGAAATCATGGATCACGCACGTACGCTTTGAGACATGCTTTTTTTTTTTTTTTCTGGAAGCCCTGCGACTTCCCTAAAAATTGAATGAATTATAGAACAGACCTATGACCAATGGTGACAGAGTCTACACAGAACTATGCTTCGTGGTGTTCTGGGGAAACCTTTCGACTTGCTGGCTATACTATTCAGTATGGCTGTATAGCTCACTGTGCTTTTGAATACGTTGGTGGTGGTGTCATGTGTTCTGGACCATCAGTGGAGCCTACAATTCAAAATTCAGATATTGTCTTTGAAGAAAATCTTAGTTGACATTTTTATAGTATCCATAGAGGTGACTGCAAAAAGCCCAAGTGATCCAAAATCAAATATTTGTAAAAGAGTAACTGGTTTGGAAGGAGACAAAATCCTCACCTCTAGTCCATCAGATTTCCTTAAAAGCCACAGTTATGCCCCAGTGGGTCATGTCTGGTCAGAAGGTGATAATCTACAGAATTCTACAGATTCCAGGTACTATGGACCTACTCCATGTGAACTAATAAGAGCACGAATCTTCTTATTTGGCCTCTGAGTGATTTTGGATTTTTATGTGCCAGCCTTAATGGCCACAGATTTTCTGATGATTAGTAAGCATTTATTCTTTTGACTTGATTACTGTCTCCTGTTCGTGTGAATTTATTACTCCCACTGAAACCATGTACTTACCAATAAACTATTTGCTATTCAAACAAAACTAAACAAAAACAAACCAAAAAAGAAATGGTAATAATTAGAAGGCCCCCGTTACCAGGACAACCTGAATATAACTTCGTTGCCTCACCACTTAAAGATACATTAAGTAGGATCAAGTTGGGCTTCTGAAGTCCGCAACAATGCCCAGACAGGTTATAGATATTTCAGAATGAGGCATATGTCCCACGTACCTCTTCCATGTTGTTATAATAAATGTCCTTGGCAGAGGCTGCAGCTGCTAAGTTGTTGGCTTCAGCAGTGGCCTTTTAAGAGAGAAAAACATGAACTATAAATCCTTCCTCTTTTAACGTTCCTCCACAAATGACCTAATAAAAAATCTTCTCTATTCCCCATTCTTCCTATTTTTCTAGATTTCCATATAGTTCAACTGATGAAATAAAATACTTTCTCTGCCAAGTTTTCTACCCAAAAAAATGGGAGAAGTTCATATACATAGAAATACGTATTCTTATACATAAGAATCTTTAGCAAAAATTAAATCTCCAAAATTCAGGGAAAATATTTCATTGCATCATTTTTTAATTGTTTAAATTTTTTTTTTTGAGACAGAGTCTCACTCTGTCACCCAGGCTGGAGTTCACTGGTGATCTCAGCACACGGCAACCTTCATCTCCTGAATGCAAGCCATCCTCCCGCCACTGCGTGCCACCACGCTTGGCTAACTTTTGAAGTTTTGTTTTGCACAGCTAGAGTCTCCCTACATTGCCCAAGTTGATCTTGAACGCCCAGGCTCAAGTGATCTGCCCACCTCAGCCTCCCAAAGTGCTGGGATTATAGGCGTAAGCCACCACAACACCTGGCTCCACTGCTTCAACTTTAAAAAAATAGATGTGAGTCAAAAAAATAAATAAAAAAATAAAAAAGAAGGAAAGGTTGGGTGTGGTGGCTCATGCCTGTAATCCCAGCACTTTGGCACTTTGGGAGGCCAAGGCTGGCAGATCACAAGGTCAGGAGTTCAAGGCCAGCCTGGCCAACATGGTGAAACCCCATCTCTACTAAAAACACAAAATAATTAGCTGAGCATGGTGG